CTCCTTCCCTCTTGGAAGGAGCTTGGACTGTAAACTGATGTGACAACTCAGCAGGGATCATGGGTCCTGTCTGACTGCCCGGATCACACAACGCTTTTAAGGTCTCCACCAGTTCTTTGATATTTAACTCCATCTACAGGCGTGCATCAACCCTTGCCTGCAGCGAGCAACTCACTGGGTCTCCGCAAAAGGCAGCCCTGCGTGTCTAGGTGGCTTCTTTATTTGTATCACAAAAATGCCCCCCGTTTTACATGAGGAGTTTAAAGTCAGCAGAAAAAAAAACCCCAGTAACACTGTATTCGAAAAATAAAAAAGAACATATGGGGTGGAGGGGGAGGATTACCAACATAAGTTAACATCAGCCTTAGCTAGAATAACTCTTCAAGCACTTGCCGTGGCTTAATCACGAGAGGTTTTTCTCACTCCATGCGATTTTTCACGTCTGCCAGCTAAATATGAGCTGCAGGTCGAAAACACAGCACTGAGAAACATGGTGGGCATTCTGACAGCCCCTGGAAGGACTTTGGTCAGTTTGTTAACGAATAGGTCAGAATGAATCGTTAACCCTGTATTTTATGTGTGGGACAGACACAATCCTGTTCTAACGTGGCTGAAGCTTTTCTCTGCCCGCAGTTTGCACTTGCCTCTGGGCTCTTCTCTCACATGTCAAAATTAAAAATGCTACTGCAAAAGCAGGCAAATTCAAATATGTTAAAAATCAACATTAGCCTTTTAAATGCCGTACATCTGAGGTAAGCAAATTGCATAAAGTTTTGGAAAAGAGAATGTCTAGAAAACAGGAGAATAGCTAGCCAACGGGTTTTAAAGCACCGGGTTTATGATATTCTAGACACTCGCAAATAGTGCCTGTCAGTACTGCGTACCAGAATTATGATATGTGCCCCTTGCATTATATTAACACAAAATGATACATTGCAAAATTTTGCAACTCAGATATGATAAAGAATCGAGCAATAACTAGTTGTCAGTTTCCAAGCCGTGTCATTTTAATATTTGGAATTATATCGCTGATCTAATACGATGACTGTAAGTATCAGCAATTGGTTTTAGAAACAGAATTTGCTTCATCCTTTTGTAGCCGTAGATGTAAAGCTAGCCGAGATGTATTTCTAGCTACGAGCCACCCACAAAAGTAAAAAAACCAACCTTTAAATTCCTGAAGTGTTTCAGTATATCAAAATTCCATTTCATAGGATTCAGAAAGTGGGTTTTAAATCAAAACGTTTAGAGAAAACTATATAAAACTTTACAGCCAATTTTCAGTAACTAAAACGTTTTCAGGCAAAAAATATTTATAACATTGTCATTGCAGCTGTACTATATTTTGAACATGAGCTTCTATTTCAACTGTAGCCAAAGTTTGGAGATGTTTTAATAACAATTTTACTTCATTCTTTTTTATTTTTGCAAAAAGTGCTTTTAAAAAAGAAAAAAATGTTTCCATTGACATTGAAGCAGCTATGGTAGATATCAACCAACACAAACCTGCCTGTGCTGTCACTGGGACTGTCAGCAGGACGTGTTTTCAGTGGGTTAATGGAACTGTGTGATAAATCCCACAGGATCCCTCCTCTCCTCTGTCACTGCCCCTCATTTTGCTTCCTGGAACGTGAACAATTTATACAAAGATTCGGATGTGACCGTCACAAACACTGCATTATTTCTACATATCAGTGGTAAAAAGACAGAAGGAAAAAAAAAAATAAGGCAACAAGGCAAGTTTGCTTGCCAGCCACGGGATCGGGGCCAGCGGCTCCCCCAGGTCCATGTCTTGCTGAGCAGCTCAGATGTTCTCATGCCGGCTGCGGCGAGGAGTCCCCATCTTGCCTTGAGAAAGAGTAGTGACGAGGAACTCGCTGGGGTAGGCAGCAGGAGAGAAATCATTTGTGTCCCCCAGCAGCGTTTGTCCCTGGTATTCAGGCTGAAGCTAAACCAAACCTGTGACTTTGCTGGCATAGGAAAGCTGCTGAAGAACTAGAGCTTGTGGAAACCGTGACCATCTCCAGTGGAAGCGCTACCTGAGTTGTTTCAAAAAACTAAAATTCTGGGCACTTTAAGAAAGTTTTTCTTTATGAGTGTAATAGAGAGGGAGAAGAAAAAAAAACAGAAGAGGCCTTAAAACTCAGGGAAGCCCCACTAAATTCTTCCCTGAAGCCCACTGGAGACCTCACACGTAGATCTGTTTCCTCTCTGCAGTTCTAAGAGCCCATGAATAAACCATGACAGAGAGACATCTTAAGCCCACTTCTACTTCATATTGCGTTACTTAAGTCGTGAGCAGCTCTGCTCGTGCCAGTGGCATTACTCTGGTGGTACATCAGCATAAGCGCGGGTAGAGTCTTGACCCCTTTTAGATTAACACAAATAAATTTAGACACAGTTAAGGCTGTGCTAGGAAGTGTTCCACCACTCATAACTTGTAAGAAGGGAAATAAAGTGAAGAAAAGGTCATTTTGCGCTTTTCGTCTTGCCTACAGCTCTGTTGATAACGCAGCCCAACACTTCATCAGGCTTTCACCTCCAGATGCAGAAAAAGCAATCTAATCCCAGCCCCGTCCAGCTCACACTCCACTGCAAAGTCTTAATAGTGACCTCATAGTGTCCAGTGTCAACACATCGACACATCTGGCTGTCACGTTTAGTGCCTTTCCAACGCTCGTTTGCCTAAAGCGGCCAATGATGCTGCCGAAGCGTTGTGCTGGAAGGCACAGAAAGTAGAGAAGCAAGCGGAGGGCTGATGAATGAAATTAAAAGCATTATAGGGGGAAAAAAAAGAAGGTTTTGAGTCTGTTTTCTTCCCTATGTAAGCAGAACGAAAATTGGATACGTACCCATTATCACACACAGTCCTAAGAAATCTCAGGCTTATAACCCGATATGGCAACAGAGAGAGAATTTTATTCTGCAGCCAGAATGGAAACCGCTTACGAGCTCAGCAGCCATGGCGGTAGGGTTGTGTGTTGTGCACTCGATGAGCTGAAGGCGAGGCCACAAAACCCCTGTTTGATGCACCGCCCTCCCGAGCGACGCGGGACTCAGCATTGGGCATTTTCATTATGTCTTCCAGGCAGCTGGAATCCTGCCCACGCTTAACATCGGGAGGGTTTACGGTTGGACTCGGTGACCTTCAAGGTCTTTTCCAAGCTAAATGATTCTAGCATCACCTACAGACCCCAACATCATTTATGGTAGAGGTCAGAGCCCTTCTAGGATGGATTTGACTTGCTCACCTGCCTAACATCATCCCCATGAGGGCACGTGGTGGAGCTGGAAGCTGTTCAGAAGATCACCTGGGTCTTCCCAGCAAGTAGTTTCTGGTTTCGCTAGGAGGGTATATAAAGGAAATGTCACCACATGGCTCCAGGAAAGTATTCCTGTATTCCTACGTGCAGCAATCAAATCCATTTATTTCTCATCAGCACTGCACTGGAGAACTTTGTAGTCCGGAAATTAGGTAGATATCTTTTTAAAATCTCAGCACGTTCCAGAGATATACCAACAGCGACCCTCACGGTGTGAGCTGCGCTCCTCGGTCCTCTATGCACAGCTTTGTGCTGTATTAAAAGGCATTTTGGTCCAAGTTCAGCACCCCACTATGTAAAGATAACCAATAACGCAGCTTGTCTGGGGACATGACCGCTCCCGTTGATGTTTTGCTATGGTGTATGCCATATCTCAGTCAAAAAGCGTTCCAAATTGCTCTGAATAACTGACTTATCACTTTGCTACACCCCACATTCTGCTGTCGGCTGACATTTTTATCAGAAATAATTTCATTTCCTTCTAGACGACTGATAAAGATCTGGAATAGCATTTGACCAAGACTGGGTGGTTCTTGGCAAAGCCACTAAAAATGGGCTAACGAAACGAGGATACCTCATTAACTCTTACTTTATTTAGGTCTATCCATCCACTTGTGTTAGTGTATTGAACACAGACTGCTCTCTGAAGGGGGATATTTCATCAGGATTCACATGGGATTAAGTTAAATACTCTAAAGAACGCTAGTATCATTACTCAAAAAACCAGTATCAAACTCAATTTTTATTAGATTTTTTTGTTTTGTAGATAAATCCTATTTTTAAACGCGGTACAAATCATCTTGGCATTCGTTGCTTTAATTCTGTGCTTGCACACCCCAGGAGCCTTCCGCAATTGTATAATGGGCAACAAATTAACCAGTTTGTCCGCTCCAGCCTGTGTAAATGTCTAGTGTTAATATTTGACCGTCTTTTAATATTTCACCGATATGTTCAAGGATTTGTTTAAAATGAGCATTCCACATCCTGGGAGCCAAGAATTATCCTAGTATTGTTCTCCCCCCTCCCCTTTTTTTTTTTTTTTTTTAAATAATAATGCACAGAATGCAGAATAGCTGCTTTGCTGACGTTATTGTACCCAGCCATCAGCTGCCAGGAAAAGAGACAAATTATACAGTGAGCCCACAGAGGCTGCCAAGAATGGAGGAGGTCTTTCAGACCATGCAAAGCAGTTAATAAAAATATTTGTTTTCCTGGCAGAATGGTACTTCAGTCAAAGTTTAAAGCGCGTACTTATATCAACATTTGTCCTTCGTTTCTTCAAGCCATGCTGCCTTATAGTCTTAAGTAGAAAGTCAATTAGCCTCATTTTATGATCTCGAAATAAGATATAGGTGTCGAAAGTAGCACTTGGTACTGGGGCTAGGATTTAAGTTGCATTTGTAGGTATCCACACTTGAGGTCGATTGTCTATGCTCCTTTTAATTGGGGGAATTAATTTTACATTTGTTTGTCAGTTTTTGGGGAGGCAATGATTTCAGGCAGGACGGGGTAGATTTCCAGTTACGTGGCTCACCAGGGTTTTGTGCGTTTTGTAAAGCTCTACCATTTTACATCCGCCAAGATCAGAACTACAGTCCTTGACTTGTGCAGTAAATATTGCTTTTTGTTGAATTTGTCTCTTTTTTTGTGTGCGTGTTTGAAGAAAACAAATGTTTTCCTCATCAGTGGTCTAGTGCGAGTTGTTACAACAGGACCAGTCTTGCTATTACTCATGTAAAGCAACATTTGATAATTTATTTTTTTTTTTTTTTTCTTCTGTAGTTGTTAAAGTCTGTGTTCCACGCCTGGATGCCAGTCCAGGCCAGCTTGTTTTAGTTGTGTATAAAACCCCTCAGAGGTGATATTCCTATGTTCTGTCAGGACTTTACTGGAGGTGCTACGACCACCAAATTGCTTGAGAATTGTGAACATCCTCAAAGCAGCCCAGGAGACTTCAGACTGGTTTATCACAGGCACATTTTGGAATCTGCTCGCCCCTCCCCCCCCCGCCCCGAGTGTTATTTCAGGCTCTAGATTAGCACGCTAACTGGAAATTCTAGGGATTATAATAAAATTGTGAACTTCCCAGTACAAAACTTGATGGCAAATCTGGGTTATATTAATTGTTATTCTATTAAATATGCAGTTGCAAATTATAAGGACTTCCCACCTTTTCTTACCAGCTTCTCATTCAGTTTCTTGGTTTCCTCAAATATCGTCCCAGCTTTTTGTCTGAAAATTGATTTATTTTTCTTATTCCTCCGCCTCACCTGAGACATTTCTTTCTTAAGAGGGTGCAGCATCTGTTTGATGAATGAGTAAATCTAATCCCCTCTGGTTCTTTTCCCGAGCTTTTTCTCTGTTGGTTCTTTTTACTAACTGCCTTCAAATTTATAACACCAGTTTGTATTTCAGTTAGGGGCAGATACAGTGAAAAACACCTTTGCTCCATTGCTTTCTCTTTGGATGTTATAGGAATGAACTATTATTATAATATCTTTTCCTCAGGATGCAGTTTAGCCATCATTGAGGCAGAAAAATGTCAATTTAAAATCAATAGGTGTCAATTTAAATCAATAGGTGTCAAACACAGCCTTTTCGTTATTATTCCACATAAAAACGAAGGACTGAGTACCGGTGGGCAGCTGCTGGGTGGCAAGTGACTTAGAAATAACACAAGCCAGCCCGTAGCACAGATCATAAAAGATCATATAGTTCCAACCCCCCTGCCATGGGCAGGGACACCTCCCCCCAGCCCAGGTTGCTCCAAGCCCCATCCAGCCTGGCCTTGAACACCTCCAGGGATGGGGCAGCCACAGCTTCTCTGTGCAGCCTGTTCTAACCTGTGTAATGTGACCGAGGATCACGTCATCCCAGAGAGGGACAGCAGCATCAGCTCTTTGGGGTTTGATTCATTCTCAGTCACACTAATGAGAACTGAATTGGTCTTTTGATATTTAGCACTTAATAGACTCACTGTGCTTGGGGAAAAAAAAAACCAAAAAAAAACCCAACCAACATTAAAATGTTTTCCCATTCGTGTTCTATAGCCTAGGAATATACTGGTCTGAACTAAGTAGTTTGGGTTTTTTTCAACACCTGTCTGCAACAATATGTTTTGTTTTCCCTTTAACAGCTGCAGTACTCAGCAGTGCTGTTAACTGTATATCGTGGCAGTGGCATTTTTGTTTTTAAATTAAGGGTGGTATTTTATTTTTTTTTTAATAGCTCATGGCCTGGCTGTTGATGAAACCCTGCTGAAGGCAGCAGCTGCTGCATTTTTTAAAAGGTTCTTAAAAACATCCTCTACAATTCAAATGCTAAATTCAGCATTATCCCACTCAAAGTCAGATTCCCATCAAATGAACAGAAGATTCCCATCAGATTCCCATTACTTCCAAACAGAGGGGAAAAAAACCAAACCAAACAACAACAACAAAAAAAACCCAATAGAAAACCCCACACAAAAATCCCCAAACACCTAAACAAGGAGAAAACCTGCAGTTCCCAGACAAAACTGTACTGGATCTCTGGCACTTATTAAGGACAACTTAACTGGCCAGTCTCAAAGTGATTGCTAATGTTTCTTTTATGGTTGCTTCTTTCTTTTAAGTTTTGTTTTTCTGATTTCCTTGTCACAAGATGAAAAAAGCCTAAATAGCAACAGAAGGTTTGCATCAGTCTCTTTCCTATTTTCACTGTGAAACTTCCACAGATCAAGTTAGAAGTTTGTAAGATAACTGGAAAACTCTGGAATATGTGGGATGTATACATATTATTATGGCTTGGAAAGTCACAAGGGGAAAGTGTAAATTACAGAAGTGCTTTTATACCGCTCTGTTCATAGTACACCACTTAGTCTTAAAAAATAGCAATGCTTTTAGCAATTTTAGACTGACAGACTTACTAAAGATGATTTTGATACTGGAACTGTAATTTCCTGGGAACCCACAAGATGGTATAGTTCAGCTGAGAAGCAGCATAATCTTCACTGAGTTGCTATTGCCTGGACCATGAACATATAGCATTGTTAACTAATTACTAATTAATTTTGCCAATGTTCCAGAAGCTCAATTTCAGCCTTTTTTTTTTTACCCCCCATAATCTGTGTAAACATTTGGAGAGCTTTTCATCACTTGCTTAGCCTTTGTTATCTATTTGAAAGAAAATGAATGAGAGCATCTCATTACTCCTTCAAGCATCTGTATACCATACTCTTTGGATGGCATTCTCTCGTCTGATGAGTTTGTAATGGGATGCAACTACTGACAGTGAGACACTGAGAAAACAGATTATTTGTCTTAAATCCAGTAAATCTGTAATACAGCTTAGTTACATCCATTGCTGTGAAGCTGCTGGGCTTTTACTCAGCCTTCATTAAAACAAAACAAAACCAAACAGAAAACAAGGATCAATCTGTCTCTAGGTCAGAAATACAGCCTATTATCCAGTCAAACAGCTCTGTAAATCTACAAATCTAAAAGTTAAGTCTGTTCTTTGGAGTCCAGCAGCTTTGCTGAGTCTTTCTGATGCTGAGTGGTGCTTTACCAATTCTTGCCATAGTGCCATTTGTTCAAGGAAGAGAAATAAAGAACCCATAAGATTTCCAATGCAGTGCTTGAAGCAGCAGAGCCATTAATATCAAAATGACTTAGAGCTCAGGAGAATAAAATTTTGGTATCAAGTTGTCCTACATCAGCAGCTATTTCAGCATCAATACAATTAGAGGATAAAGCCCAAAAAACTAGGAAAAAGTCTGGTTAGAAAGATTTTTGACATACATTACCATCATTTATGTGTTTTCAAGGGCTCTCTGCCAGTCATGGCACTGCTCATCTGCAGAGCTGAAAGCATCACCCAAAAGCAGCTCCCACTTCCCACAAGCCTCTGGTCAGATGCTGTAGCAAAAACTCTAAAAGCCATAGAGCAGCCAAAGTCTCTCCCTCAGCCCTTTCCACAGGGCTTTACTGAGAAACCCAAATAAATGAGCTCGTATTGAGCTGTTGATGCAGGGACAGCTAACGAGGCTCAGCCCCCGCTGATTACCTCCTCACACTCATCATTGGCATACTTTGTTGTTCTCTGCTCAACCCAAGTTGCTGATGGGTAATAATCTGTGAAGCGACAGCAGGAACTAAAATTTACGTAAGAGACAATATCTGCACAACATTCGGAAATGCGTACTGTCTAGGGGAGGGGGGGGGACCCCAACCTCCCTCCATTTTTTTTTTTAAATACCTAAGAAAAACTGGAAAGCATTCAAGTGCCAAAAGCATGCTGGGTCTCTACTGAGTTGCGTGCGATGTGAGCGGTGCATAGGCCTTATCCTACACCACCTTAAAGCCAATTACTATATTTTACACTCCATAAAAAAATAGAGATCTCAGAATTAAATTAGGCGCAGCGAAATGCAGAACAAGACTTTTCTGTCTTTACTTCTAGTGTCGTACGGTGATTTACTCGGAAGGCTTTTTGGTACTGAAAGGAAAAAGACTTGCAGCCTTCAGGCTGTACAGAAGGCAAAATACATCACGTTTTATGTTAATTAAACGTTTCATCGTTCACTGATTAAGTAACTAAGGTAGAATTTTAATTTTACCAAAAAATGCCAGTAATATTAAAATTGTAACGTATTCTGAAGGGACCCTAGGGGTAAGGCATAGTCACTTTATGTCGCTACTTAATGCCGTCCTAAAAAGTACCTTCATTACTCTAAGGTAAAATATAACAAACTGAGTGCTGAATGGGAATTGCAAATGGAAGCTGGAGCTCCCATCAGGTGACAGTAGCTGAGGAACGATGACTGCCGGCTGGAGAAGCAGCTGTAATGCCCCTGTGGCGCCCCACGATTTCCACTCCCCGCGGACAGGGCGGCAATGGGGACCAAGGATGGAATTACTGGTGATGCTGCCGGCAATGCCGTCACCCTGGGTCCCCTGGTGTGCCACCTCCCGTGTCTCCCTACGGGGCTGCAATCTCCTCTCCCAGGGAAAAATGGTGCCAGATTTCGGGAGGCAATGTATGTAACGGGATATGACATGACCTGTGTAATAGCGCTGTTACAGCCGAGGTGGTACCTGCTGGGGACACCGGGGCAGCTCACATCCCCGAAACAATAGCAGGCTTCCTGAGGAAGAGCCACATGACACCCTTTGCACTCACATTTTCAAGGTTAGCTTCACCGAAAAGAAAAAGGTAAGAAACATTTCCTTAAAAAGGTGGCCGTGTCCCGAGCAAAGGGTGGTCGAAAGTCACTTGGTCCTGCAAACCCTGCCCTGGTCACAAGCAGGCACCATGCTATGTGTTAAGCACCAACAGCCACTCATGAGAAGAAATAAGTAAACTCTGATTAATCATAGAATCATAGAATGGTTTGGCTTCTCCAGCATTGCATTCACCAGTGTTTATACTAAATCAGCTGCTTGGTCATGCTAGGGGTTTGGATTTTTAACCAGGAAATGAATTCTTCATTGTTCTTGAGTGCAAAAATTAAGAGGAAGTGAGTAATCTGCCCCAATTTTATTTATTGCTGTGATTTTTGCGAGGATCTAGTGATATTGCATCCAGTGACAAGTTTTAAGACTGGCTCATGAACGCTGAGGAAAAGCCATCAGTGGAATCTTGAAATACTCTGAGGATTTGGCAACTAAATCCTTGGCAACGGCCACACTACCCAGGTAGTGACTAAGAGAGCTCAGACTCCCATTGTGGCGTTCCTGCCTGAGATCTGACAACATGCGTCGCGCTAACGGGATCTGGAAGGGCTTTCCACCACTGGGACAGTGAATAAGCAGTGTGCATCCTCCGTTGGTTACCAGAGCAAACAAAGGGCTGAGAAGGCATGATCATCTGGAATTAAATGTTGCATGCAAAAGAATATAGAAAATATAGAGAAACCACATAGATTTTGTGTTTGTGTCCTATTGATAAGCCACTTTTTCTCTGTACGTGTCAAATCCATAGCTGTAGCCTCCATCACAACCGTCAGCGATGACCCTGGCAGCGAGGAGGACCCCAGCAGGCGTACTCCTCGCATGTCGCCACCTGGCCAAACGCCTGGCAAAGGTCCTTTCGGCCTTCTAAACGATAAAATGAGAAGCTTTTGTTCTGCGTCTGTTACGTCAGAGCTACAATCAAGCGTAACCAAATTGTGCCGGGGCTGATTTCATACATTCAGGTACCTCCGCCTTAACCGCCTTGCCCAGCGCCTGCTCTGCGTGCGCAGCCGCGCAGGGGGAGGATGTGCTCTTGCATAGACGTCAAATGCAGCAAGAAGTCG